GGTCACAGGACGATTCGTCACACAGGAACATTCGTCATAGGATGACTCGTCAAGCGGCCAACCGGTCCCACAATAGTTCGTCCCCCAAAAAATGTTTTGCTCAATTTGGTTCGCGCGGACAAAGTGGCTCACCTCATATCTTAGTATGTGCTTGGCTTCTGAAAGGCGAAGAATTTGTAACAAACGTTTTAGCTTCTGGTTCGGTCCCGAACATTGAATGTTGGTTTGGCCTGACAAAGTCGGTCACCTCTTATCTTAGCATGTCTTTCGCTTCTCAAGGTCAAAGAATTTGTAACAGACGTTTTAGTTTCTGGGTCCGTCCCAAACGGTGAATGCGGAGGCCATATAAGAGCGACTTTTTTTGAATTCGGACTACATTCAAGAGGATGGAGGTGATAGCAACAGAGAGAGGTGGAGCCATGCAGCTGCACGAGGGGTACTCGTACACATGCAGCAGAAAGAATTCCGATACTTATTGATTTTGTCGAATAGGGTTATGCAAGGCACAAGTAACAACTGATTTGGCTGAGTCGGATTATTGCTCGTTCAAGCCAGCAACTGGGATCAACCTGCTGAAGCCTCGTAATATAATGAAAGTAGAAGCGGAGTATTGTAAGATTAGTTTTCCTAACCATTGGTTTATGTGACAGTGGGAAGGCGTGAAACTCCTCATCAGCGAATGTGGGTAGTTGTGAAATTTGTGATTTACTATCGTCCCCTGCCCGATCGATGCGACCAGTTGCCCGCATGACGAGTCATCCTGTGACCAATGTTCCTATGCGACGAATCGTCCTGTGACGAGTGTGCATGTGACGAATCGTCCTCATCCCTTATGATAGACCATGTGATGGATCGTCGCAGTTTTCATCGCTGTAATTCTATACTGGTTGATCTACGCCTGATGTAACTGATGACAAAAGGCATTCAAGTGCTATGAAAAATTTACAAGTTGTGTATGATACGCTTGACTACGATGAGCTGTTCGTCTGTGCGGCTCCGAGCCAGTCCCACCTAGGAAAGCCTACAAGTGCCTGCACATTTATTAAACAAAAATTTGTTCAAAATGTTAATTGGCAGGGGTGCAAACAAACATGCAATCCCATGTTTTGACAGGATGACATATTTTGTTGATTATTTTATTTGCTTGTGTGCTTTGTTATTTGCGACTCCAACTAACTATAAGTGGCGCCACTCATTTTCCAAAACGGCGGGTTTAGTGAGGGTCGGAGATGCGTGCCGCTGCTGAGCCTGTCTAGTGTGCTGGCGAATTCACTGAGCGACACAAATTATTTATGGTAACACGAGGAAGCTAGGGTGTTATGAGCGCATGTCACCTCTTTATCCTGAAAACAAAAACGGTATTTAGCGTAATGCTTAGCCCAGGAGGCACGTTTTAATTCTGGAGCGAAACCAAAACTAGCCTCTATTTCGGATTTTATTTTTCGATATAGGTCTCAATTTCGAATTCTTTCATAACTCATGATGCGTCTCACATCGTAATTATTTAGTTAAATTGTTCGCGGAAACTTTATTTTCTGACATACATGTTCGTATCAGGCACTTCAAAATATTTCGGAGATTTCAGTGTCCCTTTAAAGACAGGTTCTTTCACACACCTTAGAGATAACATGGAATATTGTAGTTGTTGAAAAAATCAATGCTGATATTTGTGCGTTCTCGCTGCCTTTTCTCGCTCAGATAATTGTCCCGTGAAATAATGAACTGCGGGCCTTTTAATGGGTTTTGGAGTATTTCGATGATTAATTGCTTTAACATTATCCCCAGCACAAGAGTAACAGAACAAATCAAATTTTTACAATATGTCCACAAAACGTATAAATTAATAAACGCTGTCCTCACTACGACAACCCAAAGACGAAATCCGAGTCAGACAGCTGAAGTGTGCGTGTGTTTCTTTTTTTATAGCAACGCGTGACCATAGAACTTTATATTGCATCCAGTGTTTGACTGTTTGTCTATCTTGATAACTATGTCAGATATTTTCATACGCTAAAAAGAAAAAAAATGATACCTTTCTAAAATGACTACTGTGCTTAAATGGCGTATTTTTCTGATCGTGGCATTATTGGGGGCATACATTGCCGCGATTTGTATTAATAATAATACTATTAAAAATCAAATATTTTAATCCGCAATCTTTTAAGGTATAAATAATTTTAGAAAAAATCGTAATGGTACAGACAAGCTGGTGGACAAAATAAACGAGTTAGCTGAGTTTGAGACGTCGTCCTGTCTATTTTCTGTCCCTTCTACGTTTTAATGTTTCTTCTCTACCCCAGTCTCAGGTTAATTCAACATGGTTCATATAATTTGTTGCTTATGATCTAATTTTAAACACACGAACAAGTATGACAATCAAAAGTGCGCTAATTATATATTGCCGCGCTCACAGCTGGCCAAATAGGCAGCGCGGTCATGGCATAACGGTTATCGCGTTCTCCTTCCACGCAGAAAGCCAGGGTTCAATTGCTGGCCGCGGGTACGCATTTTTGTTGACTCAAATATGATGTTCTGGTAAATTTGAAAATCCTGTTGCCTGTTCTAGGTGCTAAAGTTCTCGTCGCCGAACCCTCTGGGCCGATTGTTCCAGATCCCAACGCTTGTGCTTTAAAGGGGCTCCGCATGGCGATCCTCGGTCAGCCTCGCCCCAGCGCTCGATCCTGCGGTTTCGCCGACATCGACGCCCGCGACGCTCTGCTGTTTTCTTTGGCCCTTTTTATTTTGGGCACAAGTTCGCCCCATTAAACGTTTAGTTTCTTTCGTTATCATCGCCTCATCAATTGTCATTCGTGACAATATCATCACTGGTGCCAATTGCAGCATTTTTAGTCACCAAGTTATAAAATGAAAATTGTCTAAAATCAATCAAAGCATTCTCGTTAATGCGAGAAATTCATGCAAAATTACATTAATTGTGGGTTTAGCATATTTTGTTATCAAAGTCGCGACTTTTGACACTCGGCAAGAGTTGCAAAGTCGCCGCCAATATCCTACCAAATCCCCAAAATAGAAAAAAAAAAAGATTTTTTTAAGCTACCAATCTTTTCATAACATCTAGTTACTTTCATTTTTACGCGCCGTCGTTTTGCCAATCTCAGGCTTTCCAGATCGAAGGAACGCCTACCTGCTTGCATTTCTGCTCACTGCAGCACGTTGCGTTGGCGTTGGAAGCCGGTAAAACAGTTGTGAGTTTTAGTGTGTTTGCATTAGCTTTGCGTGTTCCACACTGCGCGTGCGCGGAGCCCAAAATTGCGGTCTTGGATTGGCGCATGGCGATCAGGCACACGCACAACGTGGGGCACGCAACTCTAACGCAAACGCACAGCGTTAGCGTTTGCTTCTATACGCAATACTAAAACTCTCCATTAGGGCACAATCCAATACCGGCTGCAGCACTATACGTTTGGACAGTGCAGGGGGTTGTTTGCGTTCGGAATTGGCCTTTCGCGAGCCATGATCGCGCGCAGTTCCGCCGTGCCCACTGAACAGGAGAATCGGGGGACCCTCAAAAGAGAGCTTTCCGTTACCGCCGCGGGAGGGCGAGCAACGAGCTGGAGACGCGAGTATTTACTCTTTGGTTGTTCCTTTGACAACGATAGCGTTGTATCGCATAAACATTCTGTATATGATAAAGTGTACTGCCCTGCAGGTCCTCTTCCCTGTTGACCTGCACCGAAAAATTCTATATGCATGTCTATCTATTCTCGGTCAATTCTTCGCATCATGGTAATCTTCAGTCTGAGAATTAGCCACCGTTCAAACACTGAAGACACCATGGCAGATTACAGGGCTTGGAATGGCAGCCATGTTGCTAAGATTAATCGACTTCACAGAAAAAAAAAATTGAAAAGGGAGAACTGTAAGACTTTCATCGCGGCGGAAAAAATCCAGACGTGAGGAAAATGTGGAAATTGGACGAAGCCCAAGAAGTGCGCAGTCATCAGTGTCTATCGCTCATCTTCGGTGTTTTTCTTACGCAGACTCGTGCGTAGCGTTGATACTCTACTCAAGTTAAAGCTGGGTCACGCACTTGTGTTTGCTTACCACAAATTGCGTTACTGCTTCTTGTGATCTCTAAGAGAGAACACTCTGACCCTGGGGCGCCATCTATCAGGTCGCCCTGGAACTGCATTTCACCAGAGCGAAGGTTTTGCAGTGTCTGTGAGATCAAAGACACGTACTATGTATTAAACATTACCGTGTATAACACTGGCAAAGAATTTCAAGTCAGTAGCGAGGGAATAATGACCAAAGAAAAATAGAAAATACACGGAAATCGCAAGTGATCCTCGGCTGCCTGATAGGTAGCGCTAGTGTGTTCTCTCGTCGTAAGAGATAGGAAGAGGTTGAAGAGCACTTGGTCATAAGCAGTTGCATGTGTATAAACCTGCCTTTACTCTGTCGTATACACTTTTGCGGGTAACTTGGTATCTTACAGATACTTTTGAAATTCAGCATTTAGTAATCTAGCTCAAATACTTATGGTAAGTACCTTATATTCACTTCTCAAGTCCCTTGCTAGTTACAACCATCCTTTTTTTCCCGGGAACAATTTAAATTTGTCACTTCTCAAACCAAGCTCCATGGCCTGAGAAGTTACATATTTCAGCATTTTTTGCTAGGCTTTCTGAGATTACAAGCATTTCGTCTTTAATATTCCGGGTGCTTATGTGAAAAGGAGAGCATTTTAAAAGAAATTTATTATGCGAAGAAAAAGTTTTTTTTTTTTGGGTAATGACAGATTTATATTTTATTATTTTGTAGTTATGTTTTCATTGAGTTCCCGAAACACTGCTGTAACTTAGATGTGTCTTAAAGGTAATTTGAGTTACTTTCTTTCGTCATTGGTGCTATACTCGTTACTAGTTTACCCGGTACTCAGTGACTCAACTTCTAAATCTGACTATTTGATACAAGCCTTACGTCGGGTCTTTTGTGACCGTGCGGTAGAAGAGTTTTGCCAAACTGCAAGTCCTCACCTTGGCACATCGGAGGATCGGGTATCCATTGGAAGGATCCGTTCCTGAGAACGCAGGTCAGGTCTTGATCGCCCTCCAGAAAGAAGCCTTCTTCGCACGCATAGCGCACTATCGGTCCTTCGCCCGTGCTGCTGTCCCGCAGGACGAAGTAGCTTCCGTTAGAGATGACGGGAACATCCGGGCAATCCAGCGGAGAGCTGGCAGCTGCGATTAATCAAAGTCACGCTTAGACATATTTTCGTTTTGCAGTTTAGAGCTTTGAATGGGAAATATTGAAACAAATCTTCCGATTGAGCAGCTCGTAATATTGGGCAGCACAAGACTGATCAGAATGCTAGAACAAAGTTGTATAGAATGAATCACCGTGTCAGCTATATCACTTGTAGATAAGAAAAGCTTAAAAGTTATGCGTTCAAAAAGATGTATGGCTTTTGTTGACCGAAAAGGCAGTCGGTTCAGAAATGTTATATCTGTGCCATGAATTTTGTTACAGTACACGTGATATCTCGTTAATATGGACACCTTCGTTCTCTCTAAAAAGCGTTTATAACGTGACTCGTCTATAAGAACGAGGTAAAACGGCATGTGTTTACCCAGTTCGTCGTCAAAAATGTCTATATAAAAGGGCAGCCATACTAAGAAAATCCGTTTAACGAGACATAACTTTATCTGTGAGCCTATATGCACATTCACAACCTTATTAGCGCGAATGTAGACGCTTTCAGGCAGATTTCATGGGCGCCGCCATCTTGACGTCACGTGACCCTGCCGCCATAGCCGCCCTTCAGTTTCTCGCCGTTCCTCCGCGTTGCGTGCTGCACCGGCCACTACCGGAGCTTTGTTTCCGCGTTCTTTTACGTTCCAGATGAAAATCGTGTGCTTTCTTTAGGTCTTTTTGATATTTCGAGCTTTCATTTAATCATTTTATATCTATATTTTAACATAGCTGTTGTATTTTCTTATTTATGAAATGCAATCGGACAGCAAATCTATCGACGATACAACATTATGGCTTCAGAGACCATGAATTTCATCCCATTCTAAGGTTTTTGTCGCTAATAAAGGGCAGTCAACACCATTGCGACATAAGTAAATTTCAACTGACGCAGTAAGGCTATCCAGTCGTGCTTCTCGCTGCATGTGCGCGCTCGTTTCCGTAAAGCCGACCCGCATGTAAGCGATTTAGCGTGCGACGAGACGAGCGAAGGCGACAGCGACGAGGGTCAGCGACGAAGATTTCTCACTGTCGCCTGTTTCATCGCTCGGTTTTTTGGGTTTCTAGAAAACGTCGCTCGCCGCCTTGGTCGCTTGCTCCCGTCGCTTCCATGCGGTTTGCCTCGTCGCGCGACTGCCCGAGCGACAGCGAAGCGGGTCACCGTCGCTTGTCTCGTTGCTCGCCCAATCGCTTGCATGCGGTTTATACTTAATATCGAGGCGCCAATGGTTCAATGGTGTGTGCATGGAAATTACTTGAGTATAAACCGCAAGTAAGCTATTTGGCGAGCGACCAGATAAGCGACGGCGACACGCTTCGCTGTCGCTCAGTCAGTCGCGCGACGAGGCAAACCGCATGGAAGCGACGGAGCAAGCGACCAAGACGGTGAGCGACGTTTTCTAGAAATTCCAAAACCGAGTGACGCGACGGGCGACAGTGAGAAATCTCCGTCGCTCGTCTCGTCGCACGCTAAATCGCTTACATGGCGGGTCGGCTTTACGGAAACGAGCGCGCTCATGCAGCGAGAAGCACGACTGTGATAGCCTTACTGCGTGAGCTGCAATTTACATATGTCGCAATAGTGCTGACTGCCCTTTATTAGTGACAAAAACGTAAGAATAGGATGAACTTACATGGTCATTGAAGCCTCATAATCTTGTTTCGTCGACCCATTCGCTGTCCGATTCCATTCCATAAATAAGAAAATGCAAGAGCTATGTCGAAATATAGATATCAAATGAATAAATGAAAGTTCTAAATATCCAAAAGACCTAAAGTAAAACCAAGATTTCAACGCGCAACGCAAAAGAACACGAAAACGAAGCTCCGGTAGTGGCCTGTGCATCACACAACGCGGAGCAACGGCGAAAAACTGAAGGTCGGCTATGGCACTCCGGAAAGCGCGCGAAGGGCGCGCTGACTGGTGGCAGCTCGAGTAACTGAATCGCTGAAAGCGTCTATCCGCGACTCCAACTAACTATAGGTGGCGCCACTCATTTTCCAAGATGGCGGGTTTAGTGAGGGTCAGAGATGCGTGCCGCTGTTGAGCCCGTCTAGTGTGCTGGCTTCACTGAGCGACATAAATTATTTCTGGTAATACAAGGAAGCTAATGTTTTATGAGCGCAGGTTACCCCTTTAACCTGAAAACAAGAACGGTGTTTAGCGTATTTTTTACGGAAGGATGCGCGTTTTAATTCTGGAGCGAAACCGAAACTTACCTCTATTTTGGATTTAATTTCTCGATATAGGCTTTAATTTCGAATTATTTCACGACTCAAGATGTGTCTCACATCGTCATTATTTACTTAGAAAAGTTGTTCGCGGAAACTTTATTTTGTGACATATTGTTCGATCCAGGGTAATATTTGTAGTTGCTGAAAAAATCAGTGCTGATATCTGTGCGTTCTCGCAGCCTTTCTCTCGCTCAGATAATTGTCATGGGAAATAATGACAATTATTCCAGCACAAGAATAAGAAAATAATTCTAATTTTTATAATATGTCCACGAAACGTATAAACTAATAAACGCTTCTCTCACTGCAACAACCCAAAGACGGAATCCGAGTCAGACAGCTGAAGTGTGTGTGTGTGTGTTTATAGCACCGCGTGGCGTGTAGGACTTCATATTACATCCATTGTTTGACTGTTTGTCTATCTTGATAACTATGTCAGAGTTTTTCATATGCTAAAAAGAAAACAGAATTATACCTTTCTGGAAAGACTATTATTGTTAAATAGCGTATTCTCGCGATCTTGGCGTTAATTGGAGGCATACTTTGCCGCGATTTGTAATAATAATAATAATATTAAAAGTCACATATTTGAATAAGTAATTCTTCAAGTTCTAATATAATTTGTTGCTTATGATCTAATTTTAAACGCGCGAAGAAATATGACAATAAAAACTGTGCTAATTATCATCACTGGTTTCAGTTGCTGCATTTTAATTACCAATAAAAAAATAGTCTAAAATCAATGAAAACATTTTAGCGAATGTGAGAAATCCATGTAAAATTACATTAATTGTGAATAAAGTATATTGTGCTCAAAGTCGAAACTTTTGACAACCGGCGAAACGCCCAAAGTCGCCGCCAATAACCTTCCAAACCAAATGCCCCCCAAAAAATAAAAAAAATAAAAAAAAGCATTTTTTTAATTATTAGTTTTTTCATAACATTTATTTACTTTTGTATTTGCTCGCCGTTGTTTTGCCAATCTCAACCTTTCCAGTTCGAAGGAACGCCTACCTGCTTGCACGTCTGGTCACTGCAGCACGTTTCGTTGGCGTTGGAAGCCGGTGAAACAGTTGTGAGTTTTAATATTGCGTATACGAGCGAACTCAAGCCCTGTGTGTTTGCGTTAGCTTTACGTGTTCTACACTGCGCGTGCGCGGAGCCCGAAACTGCGGTCTTGGATGGCGCATGGTGATGGGGCGCACGCACAATGTGGGGCACGGAACTCTAACGCAAACGCATACCGCTTGCGTTTGCTTCTATGCGCAATACTAAAACTCTCCAGTAAGGTACAATTCCATACCGGCTGCAGCACTACGTTGGGACAGTGAACAGTCTTGTTTACATTCGGAAACGACATTTCGCGAGCCATGATCGCGAGCAGTTCCGCCATGCCCGCTGAGCAGGAGAGTCGGGGGACCCTCACTAGAGCGCTTCCCGTTTCCGCCGCGGGAGGGCGAGCGTCGAGCTGGAGACGCGAATAGCTTCATATGGACCGTATACAACCCGATGTGGCACACTTATGTAACTTATTTGGAAGACACCGCTGACATGGCACTTTCCTAATTATTTGTTCGGATTTCTCGGTCAACAAACTTTCATTTATTTTTAAAAGCATTTCGAGGATTATGCGGGGGAATTAAATTGTATAAGAGAACAATTTTGTTATTCGTGTACGCTTTTAATTACATGTTATTTCACGTTTGCCCCCAGGGAAAAATAGAGCCTCGAAATGTCGAGAAACTAAATATTTTAGTAGTTACACCTAGTTACCAGAAAAGTAAAAATAGCGTCGATACAATAAGTAGTGTAAATTACTAATAACTAATTTCAATGTAACAAAGCAAGTGATAAATTAGCTACATTTTAAATGTACTGGCGGCGGTTTAGGTGAACTTCCTAAAAACTGAAGCATTCGATAAGCCAACTTGATTTTGATTGTTACAAAATAAGAACAAATGTTTGAAGACAGCAAACAACAACAATATGTCGAAGTTTAGCCCTGGATGCCAAAAAAATAGTTTCTTGTGGTTTTTGTTTTCCATTGCGATTCATAATTATGCTTCGCAACGTCGCGCTAAGAATCGAGTTCAAATTTATTTTGCCTTGTATTTTCAAATGTTCAGGATAGACTGTATAGAATCTTTTCGCACTCATTTAGACCTTTTGGCTAGGCAGTTTCGTTGAAGTGCCAAGCACACCTTACATGAACTTAGAGAACTTAGAGTAGAGGCTATATTTTTCCACGCGTGTGTCTGCGTAGGTTCATGTGACTGCGTTCGCCAAGTCGTTGGTGGGATAAACTTAGAGTGTTTATGTAATAGATTTGATCCAGTTAAGAAACTATTAAAAAAACGAACACACTGGGTTCATGGGATATCTAAACTCTAGCTGAGCTTACAGACCATGTCCCCGATAGCGAGTGCTAAATGTGTGGAAGAAAATTGATTCTGTTCTGAATTTTATATATATTTAAAGACTTTATTTTAAGAAAAAGCTGCAAAATTTCGCGAAGAAAGAACAGTGATGTGTTTAGTGAGCCACACGAGACCAATGTCGCATAAAGAAACCATACATCAACATGTTGCCACTAGAATTGAAATTATCTCTCAATTACTTTTAAATCAAGTTGTGGTAACTATGAACACATTTCGGTTTTTAATTTGCAATAAGATTGTCACTGTTTTTTTTTTTTTTAAATATGCTAAAGAATAAATAGAAAAAATTATGTGTAAGCTTGAGGAGTCAGGAGTCTGAACACATTTTTTATTCGCTGCTTGTGTAAGCGGAAATATTGAAGCTGATTGTCTAGATTTCATGAAATAAACTACAAAAAAACACGAACTCATAATTCAGAATAATTAACAGTAATTACGTTTTATAAAATTCATTCGCTTACCTGAAGAAAGGAACTGGAGGGCAAGGAAGACTCCCAGCGCTTTACAACAACCTACAAAATAAATTGTAGATATTATACACTGTATAGTGTAAAATCATACAAGCTCGATCATGCTGACAAAGACCCTTGAGCACAGAATGTGTCATAGGCCTTCCAGGGAAGAAAAGGAGTATATCGGAACGGTAGCGCCTAACGAAGATTCACTCTCATTTCTGACACGCGCCGTTAGATGGCGCATCACGTCAGGACAGGCGGACAGGCCAGAGTCGTATTCGCGACTCCAGCAAAACGGACGCCGCCAAGCGGGAAAACCGGGAACCAGCCGGTCCAGGTCGCTCCGCGCCCCTCCGCGTCTCTGGTGGCTTTCGCGGAGACGTGTTGTCGGCGCGGTGGCGAACAATGTAATTTGACGAAGGTCCGAATATTTCTTAAGTTCGCCTGAGTGATCATTAGTGTGGTGAAACCTCAGTAGATTGTTTTCTTCTATCACGTGTTTGAAAGCCCGTTTACTCCACAGCACACGGTCGCGTGCTTTCGATTTCTTGGATGGGGAGGAATCACGGAGAAACTTTTTGATTTCTTGTCTGTCTCGAATCACATTCAAAGTGACGACTGCTTGGTGACTGATACTGGAGGGAACATCAATGTTGCAGTCAAGTGAATGGGGAGGTTCGATAGCTGGTTTTCTTGTGTTTGGTAGTGTTCGGTTAGCTTCAAGTTTGAGCCACCCACGCCGGTCGGTGCGTTGGCTCTTCATCTTGGCTGCTTTTCACCGAAAAAGCCTCTGGACCACACTGAAGGAGTTGGGCTGATTTCGCAATTTCTTGATTCAGGAAAACTTGCTCGCTGCAAATGATGAATGAGGGAAATTATCTGTTTTCAAAAGGTGGGAGACAAGTCTCGCAACGTTAGATGCTGTCACGGCATTTTGACCTATCGCGCCTCCAATATTTATATTACGAGGACGTCGAAGCCAGCAGCAATATACGTCTACATTGGTCAGGTGGACCAGCCATAAAAAAAATACTAAATTTCTTCGTTCAGGATTCGAAGCAAGGTTCAATGCAGAGAGGTTCTGCGTGGATCTTCAATGAAGACTCTCTTCAGTTTGTCTCCGTGCTGCCGCGCGAGCGAATCCGAAAGACGCGACCATGTTATGATGGCTGAACCATCCAGGTGGCTCAGTAACGTTCGATTTTGCACGCGCGACGTTAGAATGCAAGCATCTGAAGATGCGCGAAAACAAAACCACTAAAAAAAAATAAAAATTAAAAAAGAATTATGCAGCTCACGACCGCAGCGTCCCTTAAACATTCCTTTCATCTTTGCCTTCTTTCGTGGCTTCCACGAGCATGTATGTTTCACTTTACGTGATAGCGAAGCCGAAGCTACTCGCAAAAGCACGTCCTCCTGAACGATGCTCGCACTGCACGAGCGCGCGTGGTTGACAGGGACGCTGTAAGCTCGCAGCTCGCTCTTGTAGCCTCTGTTACGCTGGCACTTAGACTGGAACGGAGTGGAAAAAACTCTAGTGGGGAAGCGCATTGACGCATGCTCGAAACCCGAGCCAAATATTCTATTTTGCTCGCCTGGAGCGCTGCTCAAAACTTAAGAGCTACGGGCCTATAGAACCATTTGGCTAAGTTTAAGTAGTATGTCTTCGTCTGTCAAATATACTTTTATTCAGCAGCTCACCTAATAGCTAGTCAACTAAGCTCATATTTCAACCCGAAGGATATACTAATATCGCTTTAGTGGGACCCCCCCCCCCCCCCCCCGCCCCCATAGCACGTAATAAGACGCTTTCAGGCAACATTTCATGGGCGCCGCCATCTTGACGTCACGTGACCCTGCCGCCATAGCCGCCCTTCAGTTCCTCGCCGTTTCTCCGAGTTGGGTGCTGCACCGGCCACTCTCGGAGCTTTGTTTTCGCGTTCTTTTACGTTCCGCATTGAAATCGTGTGTTTTCTTTATGTCTTTTCGATATTTCTGGCTTTCATTCAATCATTTGATATCTATATTTCAACATAGCTCTTGTATTTTCTTATTTATGAAATGTAATCGGACAGCGAACGTACCGACGATACAAGATTATGACTTCAGAGACCATGAAGTTCATTCCATTCTAACGTTTTTGTCGCTAATAAAGGGCAGTCCACACCATTGCGACATAAGCAAATTTTAACTGACACAATAAGGCTATTCAGTCGAGCTTCTCGATGCATGTGCGCGCTCGTTTCCGTAAAGCCGACCCGCATGTAAGCGATTTAGCGTGCGACGAGACGAGCGAAGGCGACAACGACGAGAGTCAGCGACGAAGATTTCTCACTGTCGCCTGTTTCATCGCTCGGTTTTTTTAGTTTCTAAAAAACGTCGCTCGCCGTCTTGGTCGCATGCTCCCGTCGCTTCCATGCGGTTTGCCTCGTCGCGCGACTGCCCGAGCGACAGCGAAGCGGGTCACCGTCGCTTGTCTCGTTGCTCGCCGAATCGCTTGCATGCGGTTTATACTTAATATCGAGGCGCCAATGGTTCAATGCTGTGTGCATGTAAATTATTTGAGTATAAACCGCATGTAAACGATTTGGCGAGCGACCAGATAAGCGACGGCGACCCGCTTCGCTGTCGCTCAGTCAGTCCCGCGACGAGGCAAACCGCATGGAAGTGAAGGAGCAAGTGACCAAGACGGTGAGCGACGTTTTCTAGAAATCCCAAAACCGAGCGATGCGACGGGCGACAGTGAGATATCTCCGTCGCTCGTCTCGTCGCACGCTAAATCGCTACATCCGGGTCGGCTTTACGGAAACGAGCGCGCACATGCAGCGAGAAGCACGACTGTGATAGTCTTACTGCGTCAGTTGCAATTTAAATATGTCGCAATAGTGTTGACTGCCCTTGATTGGCGACAAAAATGTAAGAATGGGATGAACTTACATTGTAATTGAAGCCTCATAATCTTGTATCGTCGACCCATTCGCTGTCCGATTCCATTCCATAAATAAGAAAATACAAGAGCTATGTCGAAATATAAATATCAAATGATTAAATGAAAGTCCTAAATATCGAAAGGACCTAAAGTAAATATAAAATTTCAACGCGGAACGTAAAAGAAGACGAAAACGAAGCTCTGGTAGTGGCCTGTGCAGCACACAACGCGGAGCAACGGCGAGAAACTGAAGGTCGGCCATAGAGTAATATACACAAGGTAAAGAGCGGACACTGCCATAGGCCCCAGCGGCCCAGATAGACCAGTGACAAGTAGCGCTCCTAGCGGGCGGTATTAAGTATAATGTGATTCCGTTTCCGGTCAAGTTAGTTTTGGGTTTTGGTTTGGGCGTTTCTGCTCCGGTTCTCTGGTATCCTTCTCTCTCTCTCTTTCCTCCCCGCCTCGCTCGGCTCTCGGGAGCACCTTGACTCCCAAAGCCGCCGTTTTTTTTCGCTTTTTTTTTTAAATACTGACGCACTTTTGCTTTATTTTTTACGATAGAGTCCATGCAAAATGTGTCAAACAATATTTCAACTTACTTCACAAAGCAGAAGTATATATATTTCTTGTTCTTTTTCTATTGTGAACTTGAAGTTACACAATCGCCGCATTTACTCCTGGCTGGTGGAGCATTTTGGGGTCAACAACAGTAAGTGGTTCGAACACATTTTATTGGACCACATTCATGTATACATGATTTACTTCAGAAGCTCTGTATGTTTTATACGAAAGAGATTGATACTCACAAAAATAAATGAGTATGAAGGACTTCGGCATATCGTATACTTCGTAATAGATTCTTAGCGGAACCAAGTTAACAAAACCTTTCCACGCAGAACATGCTGTATGATACATTCACTTTCACGCCGACTCGGGTACGGGAAGTAAGTGCATAAATAAATAAGTCATCGCTATAATTACCAGTCATAATAGCATAATAACAGTGCGAAGCACACGCCGGATAGTACAAATTCCCGATTTCCGCCAAATGTAAAAAAACACCAATTTGCATAGCCTCGAACTCACTGCGGGCGAGCCATTACCAAACAATGAGAACTCTATTCGAAGTCTGACAAGATTCAACGTCCCTAAACATTCCCCGAAATTGTTCAGAAAAGAAATATGGCTTCAGAAAAAAGAGGCTTAAAAACTATGGACAGTGGATACAAAAGTGGATACAATTTCTTTCAAATATTTTTAGCCTCTATACACTATTTTATATCGAAATTTTGTAGAAAGTGGACAGATATTTTTGTTAGGGAGCCGTGATACACATTCGCTGGAAACAGGGGAAACAAATATTTGGAGAGCAAGCTGCACCGCCCACTTAATAAGCACTTTTTGTTTTTGGTTTGGCAACCACCTCTGTTAATACACTATTAACAGTTAAACCTGTCTCGTTCTTACTAGCTACTGAAGAGTGCAACTGAACTTTGTCCGAATTCCGGTTATGAAATCAAACGTGTCAACACAAGCGTATTCTGCAAAACAATTTTAAAAACCCTTTGTGGTACTCCTCTGGGCAAAGGCTAAAACCATCCAGACCTCAAAGTGTGTTATACAAGGCGGCACACACTCCTCGAACATGTGTCACACTCTCTATTATGGGAAGAAAGTGATTTTCTAGTTGCTGAATGAAATGAAAGGCAGCCTGTGATGGTAGTACTAAGTTCCCTAAAAATTTTCCAGGCACGTGGTATGCCTTAGGAACAAGACAGTACTGGTGAGGACTGGTCAAGTTATTAGACTCATCCGATAGCAGCTGAGAACAGCCACAGCTGTAAGTTGTCTGTTCAAGCAAAAGCTTAATCAAATAGCCCCAAACGTAAAAAAAAAAGTGGACGAGTCATCAATTATGTTAGACCTGATGTCTGATGCCAGCTCAGAAATATCCTCTAGTGGCGGAAGTTATCAATTGGAAGACATTCCACTATGTCTGAAATTAAACTTTCATGGTGCAAAGATATTTGCAACTCCTTTAGGAGGTCAGCCTTGTCATCCTCTACGTTTTCATTGTCCGACAGTTTGAACAGTTTCTTTATCCAGAGGTGTTTTGGTCCTGAGGTGA